CTGCTTCAGCCCATAGAGGGCCTTCTTCAGCTTCCACACTCTGCCACTACCATCATCAAACCCCTCTGGCTGCGCCATAAAAATCTCCTCCTCAAGGATGCCGTTAAGGAATGCCGTTACGATGTCCATTTGCTTTACTACCCATCCTTTGATGGCGGCTCCCGCGAATAGGGTTCGCAGCGTCGTCGGCTTCACCACAGGGGCAAACAGCTCCTTGAAGTCCACCTTCTCCTTCTGCTGGTACCCCTTGGCTACAAGCCTAGACTTGTAGCGCTCGATCTTGCCGTCGGCATCCGACTTGATTTTGAAGAGCCACTTGGACGTTATCGCCGTACGCCCCTCCGGTAGCTCCACCAATTCAAACGTGTCATTCTCCTCGATGCTCTTCAGCTCACTCTCCATGGCCTTCTTCCACTCCTCAGCATCACTACTCTCCAAAGCCTCCTTGAGAGTTGCTGGTTCTCCCGGCATCTCCACCGGAGAGAAGAACGCGAAGGCACACTCCTCGTAGTCACTCTCCTCGTCGTCTCCGACCATCATTGCCGCTCCGGCCAGGGCTGTCTTGCCCTGCTTTCCCGGCGCATCATAGGTCAGCCTATTAGGGGGTTGAACTCTCCTCTTCCCCCTTCCTTCCTCCTCAGCTGCAGGGACTTGAAGGCCTTGGCGTTGCTGCGGTGTGGCTCGAATCCGTGGAGCACTCGTAGTACGGGAAGGGAGTGACGGTGCACGCTCGCTCACTTGCTGCACCTCCTCCTCTTCTTCCTCTGCATCATTGGCCTCCTCTCCCCCATTCACAAGGGAGGATTTCCTTGTGGTTGTGCTGCCGCTGCTCAGCTCCAAAGGCAGCTCCACATGCTCCAAACCGGAACTCTTCACCTCCCCAAACCGCACGCCTATCTTCGCCTCATTCTCCGCCTTCCAATCCTTGTACATGAAGTTCTCCATGAACTTGCAGTCCCTGCTCACCAAGAACTTCTTGGTGAATGGGTCCCAAAGAAGCCATCCCTTGCTGTTTTGAGCCATGCCCAAGTGCACGGCCCACACCGCCTTGGCACCAAGCTTGTTGTGCCGAAGATGCTTAGGCACGAGCGCCATGCACATGCACCCGAACACCCGAAGCATATCCACCTTTGGCTTCCTTCCTAGCCACTCCACATAGGGCACCCATTTGTCTGCTCCCACATGAGTCAAGGCTCTGTTCTTGGCCACACACGCGCTCCGCACCGCATCAGGCCAGAAATAGTCGGGTAGCCCGGCTTCAATGAGCAACCCGCGTGCCGCCTCCGTGATTGTGCGGTTCGCTCGCTCGGCGATGCCGTTCATTGCAGGGGAGTATGGCATGGTGAGGGAGTGCCGAATACCATTCTTCTTCAGCCACAACCCAAACTCCTTGCTCAGGAACTCTCCCCCTCGATCGGTGCGGATTGACTTGACTAGACGGTCTTGTTGCCGCTCCACCATCAGGAACCAATCCGTCTTCAACGTTTCAGCCACGTCGCTCTTCTTGGCCAGCACGTACACCCAAGTCATGCGGGTGTAGACGTCGACAATGGTGAGAAAATACTCAGCTCCAGCAGCTCCAAGCTTCAGGGGGCCCACCACGTCCATCACCACCTCATCAAGCGGTGCCTTTGCCGTTGCCTCCGAACTAGGGAACGGAAACCGGGTGAACTTGGCTTGAATGCACGTCGGGCAGCCAAGCACCTCATCGGGCTCCCCCTTCACACGTATGCCAGCAACCATCTCATTCTTCACTAGCTGCTGCAAGATGGGCAGGGCCACATGCCCCATGCGCCAATGCAAGGTGAGCCAATCACACTCCCCCGTAGCCGAAGTTGGATTGGAGAATGCCGCGCTCGCAATAGCGCCCCACATACTCTCTCCGTAATCCTCCTCCGCTGCTGCCTCTGGGTTCTCCTCACCCTTTTGCTGCTCCTTGGTTGCTGCACCACTCTCCTTAGGTTCACTGAATTTGCTGGTCCCTCCAGGTTTGCTCTTCTTGAGCTCATTCTCCTTAGCGCGACCGTTCGCGCCATCGTCGCTACCGACCGCTCCATCCTTGGTGCTGATGCTTGCTGCCACTTGCCTCTCCTTAGGCATAGGGACCACTGGGATCTGCCACATCTCGTTGTAGACATCCTTGTCCTCATGAAGGTCCCAAAGAATTCGATCGCCAAGCCTTGCGGTGTAGGTCTTGGCTCCCTTCGAGTTCGTGTCCATGCCGGCCTTTGCCAACCGCCGCACGGAAATCAGGTTTGCAGCAAGGCTGGGCACCCAAAGCACATTCTTGAGGCCCACCATCTTCCCATCAGCACCCTTGAACATGGCCTTGCCCATGCCTTTCACCTCTGCTCGCTGCCCCAAAGCCGATGTGACATGCTTCACCGGTGACGGCTCGAGTTCGGTGAGCAAGTCCGGGCGAGGTGTCATGCTATAGGTAGCGCCACTATCAATCACCCAATAGTCCAGGGGATGTAGGGTCACCTTCCCCCACAGCTGCTGGCTCCTCAAAGCCTTCATCCTTCTCTGGACCAGCCGGTACTTGCGTCGACACGAAGTAGAATAGACCCGGGTATCGATCGTCGCTCGGGTCCTTGTCGTTGTCTCCGCTCTTCATGTTTGCAGCTCCGCCACCGCGACCGCCACGGCCTCCACGGCCTCGTCCTCTCCCTCCTCCTGCTCCTCTACCCTCTTGGCCTTGAGCAGGGGTCCAACCATCAGGGAGTTTGTAGCAGTCGCGCCACATGTGTCCGCTCTTGTGGCAATAGTGACACTCGCCGTCGAATCGGCCGCGACCGCGTCCGTAGCTCTTGTCGTCGCTGCCGTAACCGCCACTCCTGCGGCCTCCGCCGAAGTTGCTGCCACCAAACCTTCCTCCCCCTCGTCCTCTGCCTCTTCCTCGACCATATCCACGGCCGATGCTCGCTGCCCCAGCGCCATCCGCACTCGCCAACTCACGGCGGCGGAAATCCTCTTGAAGGATAGCTCGCTTCACGTCTTCAAGCGAGAGGCGGGGCAAGTCGCGATTAAGGTTGATGATGAGCGAGGACCATGACTCTGGGAGTAAGGCCAGCAACTTGGTCTTCTTTTGGAGCTCACTGTAGTTCAAATCAGCTCCCTCAAGCCGCGTCAACAAGTCGAAGAATTTCTGCACCCCTTCTTCAACCGCTTCGTCTTCTTCAATTCGTAGTGCCGCCATTTGCCGTTCCAACACCACCGCTACTGCCGCTGTTGCAGGAGCATGTACACCCTTGAGAGCAGCCCATGCCTTTGGTCCTTTCTCTGGTTCACGCTGGAATGGCTTGATGTGACGGATCTGACTGCTCCCCAACGCTTGCCCAAGTAAGAGATAGCCTTGTGCGCTCTTCCGCACCCACGGGCTCTTCTCCGGGTCGTTCTCGGGGCGCTTCTCCGTTCCTTCCATCACCTCCAGCAGGTCATAGTGGTCAAAGATGTTCTCCATCTTGAAGGACCATTCAGCAAAGTTGTCACCGTTGAACTTGTCAAGCCCAAACACCCTAGGCTCATCCCTAGGTGGGCCAAGACTTGGTTGCATGGGCGCCATGGCTGAATCACGGGGTTGGCCTTGAGCTTGAGCTTCTCCACTGCCACCAGCACCTCTGCCACCCCTTTCCTCAGGTCCAGACATTGTCGAAACTGCTCCAAGGGGCTCTGATACCACTTGTTATAGTCACAATAGGCTTGAATGTGCCTAAAACGAAAGATAGAGAGCACAGACGGATTTCTGCACAGCGGCTTCAAACGTTGATAGCGTTCTGCTCACAGCTGCAAATGACTTGATTCAAATTGGATCTGGAGCGTCTTCACGTCGTCTACAATTAGCAATTTAGATTGCACGATTTGATAAAGAATTGACGACACAGCGTCGGTTTGAACGAACGGTACTATGGCAGCCACTATAGTCTTAGAACACAAGATAGGAAGAGTTACGAGTTGGGAATGACTCCCAGCTCCTACAAACCCCAAGAGCCGAGGTACAGTGATGTGGAACAGTGCCACACTGTCCCCAACCACGAAGGGTCTCGAAACTACCCTTCACTAGGCCCTACACCAAGTGAAATGTTACACTACACAAAGTAATGTAACTATCTTCAATATCTTGAGGTGTACCCTTTTGGCGAGCTTCGAAATCACTTGAGGCTTGACACCAAGGCTCGGGCTCTTCATCATAAACTCATCCTTGAGTTCTTGATGGGTCTACTGCACAGACCTGCAACACGCCGAACGTTCGACACAGGACAAAATAGAAACTGCTCACGACAAAATAGAAAGCGCGCGCGAGACACAAACGACCGCGTAACACGCGTCTAGCGATAACTCGCTATTGACTCGACACACACACTCGACATCATGACTCAACATTCACACACAATTATAAGCATGAAATATATATTATCCCATGCCCTCATACTATTCCATACACACACACATTCACGCACACGGACAACAAGCCGAGTGCAAACCGTAGGGTTGCACCAACACAAACCCTTCTTCACCGCTCTGAACTGCTTCAGGTACTGGCAAACGGTTTGGGTCTGAATTCACGCCTGCGCCCGAGACGAGGAGGCCCAGCAGACTTCCCCAAATGGTTGCTGCAACGCGTTCATCCCTACAACTTCTACGTCTCTTCCAAAGACAACCAAGAGAGGGTAAGAAGACGACAAAAACGAAATCTCATTTGAGAGTTCTCAGAGTGGTTGCCGCTACGAGTTCACCCCTACAACTTCTATGTCTACCAAAGATAACCGAGAGGAGGTAGTTAGATTAAGAAATAGAGACATAAAGCACCAATATTAAGCCGTACAAGAGTTTATTCTGTTTCGTCCTTCTGGCTTGTGTATTGCCCCCCGTTACTGCCTTTCTGCCCTTCCTTCCTTTCCTGCTCGATTCACCTTTTTCTGTTCTCTTCCCCTTTCCCCTCTCACGTCACCCCTCTTTATGCTCTCTTGCTCCCCGTTCCTGAGCGCTTCACCCTCTTTATGCACTTTTCATGCCCGTTTCTGGATGTGGGTACTGGATGGGTATTGGATGTGGGTACTGGATGGGTATTGGATGTGGGTACTGGATGGGTATTGGATGTGGGTACTGGATGGGTATTGGATGTGGGTACTGGATGGGTATTGGATGTGGGTACTGGATGGGTACTGGATGTGGGTACTGGATGGGTACTGGATGTGGGTACTGGATGGGTACTGGATGTGGGTACTGGATGAGGGTAGTAATTGAAGGTGCTAGGTTCAGTCATGTTCCCTTCTCTCCTGTCCCTGTGTTTCCCCCTCCCCCTCTCCCTCTCTTTGCTCCCTCCTAGAACGCCGTGAATGGAACCAGGTGGAATCGGGACAAGCTACAACTGAGGAAGGAGCACTCAGTGACTCTCTTTACCCACTTTCCTCCCATCTCACTCCTCCCCGTCCCCAGCTCTTTTTCCCAGTGAATGTGTCCAGCTAGGAGAAAGAGGTGACAGGTATCAGGACGAGCTACAGCGAGAAGGATAACAAGTACTACCACCCTCCTTTACCAGGTGTAAAGTACTAATTCCAAAGCCTGACGAGCGTGGCCAGGTGGTATCTGGGCAAGCTGAATCTGAGGGAGGAACACTCAATGGCTCTCCTTGCCTGCCTTCTTCCTGCTCCTTCTCTCCCATTCCTCCTCCCGCCTCCCGTCCCCTGTCTTATTCCACCTCCCCTATCCCCCCTTCTCCCACCGTCTTTTCCTGTCTCTCCTCCTCTCACCCCTTCTTGCCCCCTCTCCCCCATCTTCCTCCCAGAACACTGTTAACGTGACGCGGTGGTTCTTGGGCGAATTGACTTTTGAGTTGACTTAAAGTCCTCTCACCCCTTCTTGCCCCCTCTCCCCCCTCGTCCACCCAGAACACTGTCAACGTGATGCGGTGGTTCTTGGACAAAATGCAACTGAAGGAAGATTTTATTTTTGAGGCGCCTCAAAAATATACCAAGTCAGCAGTGACGAGGTGGTTCTTGGAGGAACTGCAGCTGAAGGAAGAAGAAACAGTGGCTCTCCTGACCTGCTATCCACCTGCTCCCTCTCTCCCTGTTCTCATCCTGGTTACAGTCTCCCATCTTACCCCTCCCCTCGCTCCTCTCCTTCCCCTCTCTCCCCCCCTCTCACCCCATCCCCTGCCCAGAACATGGTCAACGTGGCGAGGATGTTTCTGGAGGGCCTGCAGGTGAAGGAGGAGGACTCGGACTTACTCTTCCCTCTCTCCCCTCTTCCCACCCCCTCTCCCCCCGTCTCCCTCCTTCTTCCCCTCGTCGCCGCCCCTTCCCCATCCCCCACCCAGAACATGGTCAACGTAACCAGGCGGTTTCTGGAGGATCTGAAGCTGAAGGAGGAGGACTCAATCATAGTGGAGATGGGCATAGAGGGGCACGAGTGGGCGATTCTGCAGCATTGGCTCTCTAACCCTCTCCGCCCCTCTCCCCCACTCTTCACCCGTCTCGCTCCCTCCCCCTCCCAGAACATGGTCAACGTAACCAGGTGGTTTCTGGAGGATCTGAAGCTGAAGGAAGAGGACTCAGTCGTTGTGAAGATGGATATAGAGGGGCACGAGTGGGCGATTCTGCAGCACTGGCTCTCTAACCCCCGCATGGCAGCGATCGTAGACGAGTTGTTCGTGGAAGTGCATTATCATCACCCAACCATGACGGAGTTTTCTTGGACTGCACCACAATTCAATCACACGCGCCATGATGCGACGGGGTTGCTGACTGAATTGAGGAAAGCCGGTTTCTACGTGCACCCTTGACCGTAGATGGTGCAGTGTAAATTCCAGCGTATAGCGTTACAGTGCTGCGTGGTGTATTGCTAGTTAACTCAAAGGTGTACACCGATATAATATATGAGCTGTTTGGGAGTAGCAGCCGCTTTTTTGCAGCCAAAAACTAGGATCGAATGAAGTCTTCTGGTAGCTTATTGCATAATACGGTACAATAAACTGTCGGATCTGTCAAAATGTTATATTGCTTACATTGTGTATGCTGGTAGCCCATAACGGGTACAACCCAATTAGGGTTAATATTTGTATCCAACTCATTCATAGTTCATTCATTCTCGTTCGGTATTCTGACATGGTATCAGAGCAGGTCTTGTTCTAGGACCGGTTTTTTTTAGGGCCCACCACAGAGCGCTGCCCCACTAGTCGCGTCGCCCTGCCCTGCCTGTCGCGTCGCCCTGCTGGCTGTCGCGTCGCCCTGCCCTGCCCGTCGCGTCGCCCTGCCTGCTATCGCGTCGCCCTGCCCTGTCAGTCGCGTCGCCCTATCGGCCGTCGTGTCGCCCTGCTGCCCGCGCGCCGCATTGCTGCCTGCGCGTCGCCCTGCCCTGCCCGCGCCGAGTCGCCCTGCTGCCTGCACAGCCCTGCTGCGCGTCGCCCTGCTGCTGCCCGCCCTGCTCTGCGCAGCCCTGCTGGCCGGCGCCCTGCTGCCCGCGCGCCGCCCTGCTGACAGCCGCACCGCTGCCCGTACCGCCCTACCCGCGACGCCCTACTGTGCACCGCCCTGCTGGCTGGCGCCCTGCTGCCCGCACAGCCCTGCTGCGCGCCGCCCTGCTGCTCGCGCCGCCCTGCTGCTGCCCGCCCTGCTGCGCGCAGCCCTGCTGACTGGCGCCCTGCTGCATGCACATCGCCCTGCTGGCAGCCGCACCGTTTCCCGCACCGCCTTGCCCGCGCTGCCCTGCCCTGCCCTGGCTGTGCACCACTCTTCCCTAGCCGTGCGCCGCCTCTCCCTGCCCTGCGCGCCTCCCTAGTGCTCGCGCGTCGCCTTGCCTGCGTGCTGCCCTGCTGGTCGCGCGCCACCATGCTCTGCCCGCTATGGCTTCTCTCAGTGTACTCACATTCGATCATGAGGGCCGTCCGATCCAGTTCGATATGTGGCTCGACGACTTACAGCTGTACCTACTGAGCGACTCTAGAGACAGCGTTTCGTTGTTTGACCACACGTCTGGAGCCTCTCTCACCCCTCCTGCCACAGCTGACAGTGCGACTCGCTCACAGTGGCTTACCCGTGATGCTGCTGCTCGCTTAGCCGTTCGCAACCACCTGCCGTTAGCCGAACGCGCTCACTTTGGCCAGCACAAGACTGCTAAGGCCATGTACGACACTGTAGTCGCTCGTTACTCCTCCCCTGCCACTGCTGCTCTCGACCGCCTTATACTGCCCTACCTGTTTCCTGACCTGCCAGCCTTTGCCACATTCGAGGACCTGGTTACTCACCTTCGCACTAGCGACGCTCGCTACCGCTCTGCCCTCCCAGCCGAGTTCCTAGACAGGCACCCCCCCCCCCCCCCCTGAAGTACATCACTCTCTACTTCGTAATCACCTAACTCCCTGACTCTTTTCGCGCAGTCAGGGACCACTTTCTCGCTCTTGACCCCACAGACCTCACTGTCGACCTGCTCGAGAAGCACCTCCTTGCAGCTGAGATTAGCGTAGTCGCTGTAGGTGCTGCTCGTGGCACTCCTCGCACACCCTTGTTTGAGGGGTGTTCCCCCTTCCCCCTTGCCCCCTCCTACGCTTCTGCTGCTGCTGTTGACATCCTTGGTACGGAGGAGGTCAAGGCTGCTTCTGCTCCTAGTGGGAAGTGCCGCAACGGCAAGGGCAAGGGAGGCAAGAGTGGTGGAGGTGGCAGCGGGGGTGGTGGTGGTGGAGGCAGTGGAGGCGGTGGAGGTGGCGGAGGAGGTGGCAGCGGTGGGAGTGGTGGCGGGATTGGGGGCTTCGGTGGCGGCGGTGGTGGCAGTGGTGGGGGTGGGGGTGGCGGTGGTGGCGGCAGTGAGAGTGTTGGCGGCGGCAGTGGTGGCGGTTGGGGTGGAGCTGTTCAGAGAGGAGGTTCTGGCGGTGGCCAAAGGCAGCAGCAGTAACATCAGAGCGAAACCCCTACGACTTAGCAGCTTCGTGAGTGGTTTGCTCAGCATGGGGCGTCTGGAGGTAGTGTTCGCTGCCTGTATGTCATTCGCACAGGTGACCGCGCTGGTAAGACATGCGGGAAGCTTCACACCCAGCACCGCTGCTTCTCCCGCCTTGACGACGCTTGGCACGCAGAGTTTGGCGACGAGGCTAAGCGCCCCCTCTGGCTAGAGCTGCTTAGGTCTGGAGTTGATATCTTTGCTCTTGAGTATGATGTTATCCTTGCTGCCATATATGCCTTGTCTGTTAGTGCTGAGGGTGGCTGTTACCTGTGTATGCCGCCCAACCCAGGTATAGAGGCTGCTGCTCTAGGTGCTAGTGAGTCTGCTCTCTCTGGTACTGCGCCTGCTGAGGCCTTGCACACCTTCACGCTTGACTTAGGTGCTTCCCGTTGTTTCTTTTGCGACAGTACCACCCTCACTCCACTCCCTGCACCTGTTCCGGTCAGACAGGCTGACCCCTCAGGGGGCCCAGTTCTTGCCCGTTCCTCCACTATTCTCCAGTGTCCGGCGGTTCCGTCCGACTCACTCTCAGGTTTTCACCTCCCCTCGTTCTCTACGAACTTGGTGAGTACCGCTGCTCTCCAGGATGCGATGGTTGTCAGAATCCCAACCACTAGACCATTGGGATAAAAGGGCTTGTTAAGTCGCGGGTCAGTGCGCCCATAACCCCCCAGGCTAGCGAGCCTGTAACCCTTCCCTAGGATCAATCGGGGATCACCAGTGGACCTCTGACAATGGTCACAACCACCAATCCTGGGGGTCAGCGTGTGTCGATCCGCACGTGTACACGTACGGGCCGTCACCTGGCAACGTTCACCCGTCGGCCTGGGTCGAGTCTGTATACACTGACTACTGAGCCTCCTAAGGTAGCTGCGTCTGCTCAGGTGTCCGCGTCAGGTTCGGTAGCAGCCCCCTGCTCGTGTCGCCTCCTCTCGCACCAGACTCTCCTATGGCACCACCGCCTTGGTCACCCCTCCCTGCCACGCCTTCGTGGCATGCACTCCCGCCTCCTTGTATCTGGTCTTCCCAGGTCTCTGCCTCCCCTCCCGCCCTCGCCTGCCCCGCCCTGCCTTCCTTGCGTCGAGGGGCGGCAGCGCGCTGCTCCTCACTCCTCGTTTCCCCGACGACTGCTCCCCTGCAGACTATCCACATGGACGTGTGGGGCCCAGCCCGCGTCAGTGGACAGGGCCGCGAGCGCTACTTTCTGCTGGTTGTTGACGACTACACGCTTTACACTACGGTCTTCCCCTTGCGCAGCAAGGGTGAGGTCGTTGATGTCTTGATCCCTTGGATCCGCGAAGTCCGTCTCCAGCTCCGTGAGCGGTTCCGTGAGAACCTTCCTGTCCTGCGTCTGCACTCTGACAGGGGTGGTGAGTTCTCCTCCGACCTCTTACGAGACTTTTGTCGTGGGGAGGGCATTCTCAAGTCGTTCATAATACCGGTCTCACCGCAGAAAAATGGGGTTGCTGAGCGCCGCATTGGCTTAGTCATGGAGGTGGCTCGTACCTCCATGATCCATGCGGCTGCTCCCCATTTTCTATGGCCGTTTGCGGTCCGGTACGCCGCGCATCAGCTCAACCTCTGGCCCCGTGTCTCCTTGCCGGAGACCTCGCCTTCACTGCGTTGGATGGGGAAGGTTGGCAATGCGTCGGTATTCCGGGTCTGGGGCTCTCGTGCCTTTGTCCGTGATACTTCCGCGGACAAGCTCTCCTCCCGCGCTATTCCATGCGTCTTCCTTGGCTTTCCCCCTGACGCGCCTGGCTGGCAGTTTTACCACCCCACCTCGCGCCGTGTCCTCCCCTCTCAGGACGTCACGTTTGACGAGTCGGTTCCCTTTTACCGTCTCTTCCCCTACCGCTCTGCCCCTCTCCCCCCCCCCCCGGCCGCTCTTCCTTGCTCCAGGTCCCCCTCCGGTAGACCCCCTCCCCCCTCAGGGTCCTGCTCCCTCTGGTGTGTCTCAGGTACACCCACTCCCCGGGTCTGTGCCTGTCGAGGTCGCTGTAGCCTCAGGTGCTGCTAGAGGTGCTGCGTCTGGGGGTGCTGAGCCTACGAGTGCAAAGCCTGAGGGTGCGTAGCCTGGGGGTGCTGAGTCTGAGGGTGTGGAGTCTGGGGGTGCTGAGCCTAGGGGTACTGCGCCTACCGGAGGTCTTGCGAGTGCCTCGCCTTGACTGTCTCCTCGGTGGGAGCCTCTCACCGCAGCAGCTGCGCGAGTGGCTTGCTCAGCGCTCGCGCCTTAGGAGTGGCGCTGCAGGAGCTGGAGGCTCTGCCGCTGGAGGCACTGGAGCTGGAGGTACTGGAGCTACTAGTCTTGGAGGTGCTGAGCTGCTGGTCCTGGAGGTGATCGTACTAGAGGTACTGGAGCTGTCGGAGCTGGTGGTGTTGGAGGCGCTGGAGCTAGAGACCCTGTAGCTAGAGACCCTGGCGCTGGAGGCGCTGGAGCTGGAGGCACTAGTGCTGGAGGCGCTGGGGCTGGAGGAGCTGGAGCTTGAGACTCTGGAGCTGGAGGCACTAGCGGTGGAGGCAATGGAGCTGGAGGAGCTAGAGCTGGAGACTCTGGAGCTGGAGGAGCTGGAGGAGCTGGAGCTGGAGCTGGAGACTCTGGAGCTGGAGGAGCTGGAGCACAGAACGAAGCACATCACTCTGTGTTACTTCCTTGCTCGAGAGCTGCAGCAGCGTGGTCAGCTTCGTCTTGCTTACGTGGCCACTCGGGCCAACACTGCTGATATATTCACCACGGCACTTCAGTCTGGTGATCATCAGCGTTTCTGTACTGTTTTAGGCCTTGAGCCTACTTTGCCTCACTTGCTCACTGCGTTACTTTGCTTGTACTGTGATCTATATATATAC